ATAATCAAATAATCGCTTGCATCAGGTTATAAGAACCTTCTGAACACTAATGATGAAAAAGTCTAAGTTAGAGTCTATTTCTTACATTCAAAAAAAACTTACTCATAAAGATGATTTTATCATTTTTATTAGTTCAGGAAACGTAAATTGATGGAAGTAGGGAAGTTCTTATATTTTGGTAATATATATTATTTTTGGTATAAATAGGCCAATAATATTTGGTTGCTTAAATAATTATCGTCATTGGATTAAAATAATTCAAATGTTTATTATTTGGCTAAATAATTTATTTTTTTATATATATTTATATACACGTTATATTTCATTATTTGTATATTAAATACTAGGTTGGCAAGATATACTCGTAAAATTTTATTGTTAATTTTTTAAAGTAGAACAATAGTCAAGCAAAATTTTGTATTTATAATTTTTTAAATAAATATTTTAATACATTTTCAAATCTTCAACTTTGAATCGGATAGAAAAATACAGTTGTTCTGGACGGAGATGGCTTTTAGGGGGGCTAAGGGGCTGTTAAGAAACATTGCGACAATGAACGTTTTAACAGTCATTATAACTTTAAAAGCTCTTTAAAAGCGGACGGGCAACCGCGAATAAGTCTTTGGCAGCTAAAAAACCAGTATCCAAAAAATCAGAGCTTTTATATAAAATAAAAATTATCGAAATCAAAGCACGAAAAGTGCTATCACTGAAAACGGGCATTTGCCATGTCTCTGCTCTACCAGTAGTAACATTTTTATTCACCTTGATATTTTCGATAGCAAGAATCGATAATTGTAAAATCAAATGATGCTTTACAGTTTTATATGAATAAAAACTCCTAAATTTCCTAGAATTGAAACAGCCACTTTAATAAGTCATTAAGATAAGGCCGCGTCAATGACGATAATTTTACGCTAGTGGTATGTTTGTCCGCTCGACCAAAAAGCGTTGTTTTTTACAATTATTTTGCATTTTTACATAAACTTATAAATCATTTAATCTTGTTAGTATTCATCTTAGAGTTTTGAAATTTTGAGGAGGCAAAGAATATAACATTTAGAAATGTTTGTAATGAGCTTTTTAAGATATCACTATTCAGCAATGATTTATTGCAGTTTAAAAAAAAAAAAAAAATTGATTTTTTAAAAAATTAATTACACTCAAACTAAAAGTCCCCCCCAAAAAAGCCTATTACAATCATTTCGAAATAATGTTTTTTAAATATCCTCAAAATATCAAATTTCTACGATCACTTTAAACCGTATAATATGAATTATACTTTTGATCATTTTCAAGCCTAAAATTATGGCGGTGTAGCGTCCTCTTAATATCTGTGTCTTTATAACTAATTATTTTATATTGAAGCGTAATTTATAGAATATGTTGTACAGGGCCTTTGGTATGTTCATTATTGTATGAAAATAATTCATTTGAATTATTTATTATTGATTGGCATTTATATGCAGAGTACTCTGAATATCATTTAACAGCTTGTTGTAATGGCTGATGACTCTTTCTTATAAAATTTTTTAATGTCTTCATTTTAGGTTTGAAATCATTAAATTATAAGATCATAAAATAATATTTTATATATTAATATATAAGAATTTAAACTGAATGTTACAATATAAAAGAAAACAATTAAATTAATTATGTTGAAGATATTTTTTGTTATTCTACATTTCAGTCATATAATTAAAATTCGAATAGTGTTATAATTGTGTATTTTTTATTAAAGATATCAAAAAAATGATCTTTTTTAAAACCGATCAATTTTATTTATTTTTTGGATTTATTATTATATTATCATTATATAATATGCCGGGCTTTTTTTTTTTTTGCTTCGTAGGAAAACATGCTACGTTAGCTACAAATCCATTTCATAACATTATTAATAGAAATATAATGTTTGTTAGTGCATATTTTTGCATTATTTGGGTGTCAGGGTATATTTGGCATATAATTTGTTTTTTGGAGTTATTAGTGTCTATTATTTCCTGTAAATTGAAGGATATATTATTTAAACGAAGGTAAACAAAATAAATAAATTCTTAAATTATTTTTTTCCAGTTTTTTTTTTTTTGTAATATGTTTACATGTTAATATGTTCTTAGTATTTTTGGAGTATATTTTTCTTTGTTTAGGATATTGCTTGGGTTTTTATAAGTTTTAAGCAGTTCATTGGAATTC